GAAGAGCAGGATAAAACCCCTTTTTTTTAAAAAAAAGGTACTTGACATGGGACTTTCAGCTTGTGGTTTCTGATGAGCAGTACAGGAGATATCTTTGCTCACAAAACATCTGTCTAAAACATAGAGGGAGCTTAGACAAATCAGAACGCTGTGATTTTGTACAGTCTCCCAGATAGACAGCGTCAATTTCACTGGCAGATCACTGCAGATAGATGTACCACTGGAGATGGCCTGAAGGGGGCAATACGCAGCATTGTCACAGCCAATCACAGTCACAGAGGACCAAAACAAGGAAGTCCCTAGCAGAAATGTAAACAGAAATTTCATCGCGGCGATATGGAGTCAACACGCTTTAAGAAGCATGGACCTGAGAACCAGCACGTCCGCAATCAAACAGATACAGATGCCATCCGACAGCTGAGTCAATGGAATCATACGCCAAAAAGGCACGCACAGAGACTGTCCTGGTGTGAGAAGGAGTCAAGGAAAAAAAGTCTCTCCAGAGGTCCCAGCGCTTGACAGGACGCCGAGGCGTGGTGAGGACTCAGACCAGGTCCCGAACTCTGCTCCGTGATGCGACACACGGTAAGTAAATTCACACAAGATGTAGCAGATCACTTGTAGAAATTTAACTCTGTCAAACACCCAAGTGCATGTTTGCAATAGTCCATTTAAAACGATAAAACAGCCTTTAGTTAGAGAGTAAAACAACCCGCAGACGTGTGCGCGGCCATCTTGGTAGTATTCTGCTGCTTATCCCTCCTTTCCCCGAAAGGATTCTCCTGCAGAAGTCCTAGATTGATATTGTGGAGAACGCATCCCAGATAGCAAAAGGACATCGTTTCAACATTTAAATAGTGTTATGGCCTGTGATTGAATAGATGTTGAAAAATGACGTTGAACTGCGATTGAAAGCGCTCGATATGATAGATGTCGAACACAACGTTGATTTTTGAGCTTTTCTGACATGGAATCAATGTCATGCAAATAACATTGATTAGGAGTTGAATAGATGTCAAAATTCAAACGTTTTTTAAACATGGATTCAACATTGATTAAACAATTGAAATATACCTATATTCAACCTTTTTTAAACGATATTTTGATTATTGGAGCTACTTACCGCGTCACCAAGAGACATCGTTTCAACATTTAAATAGTGTTATGGCCTATGATTGAATAGATGTTGAAAAATGACGTTGAACTGCGATTGAAAGCGCTCGATATGATAGATGTCGAACACAACGTTGATTTTTGAGCTTTTCTGACATGGAATCATGGAGTTGAATAGATGTCAAAATTCAAACGTTTTTTAAACATGAATTCAACATTGATTAAACGATTGAAATATGCCTATGTTCAACCTTTTTTAAACTACATTTTGATTATTGGATTTACTTACCGCGTCACCACCTAAATCAGCCACTAAACATTCACCGCGGTCATCATGTTGAGTCATTTACACAGGCATAACCAGTCCAATATGGATCTGAGGCATAATCCATCTCCTCCTGTTGTTTGTTTACATTACGCATCCATATAGCACTCAGAATGACAAGTTTACCAAGGTATTTACATTACAAAATTTTACTGCGCATGCCCCATTTAAATTGTTATTTGGTGCCTATAGCGTGACAGTGCCTCCTGCAGTCCCAAGACAGATATTACAGCATAAGTTACATCTTTTTTGTTTTTTTGCACTTCAGCACTTCAGCACTTTTGCTTCCATGAATAAATATAGTAAAAAAAACAATAACCTGCCTTTATGAAGAATGTACAGTAAATTAAAAACAAACAAACAAAAAGCATTTGGAGCAGAAGCACATGAGACATGGAGAAGAGACAGGAGATTGAGTTTTGACCAAATACCACAAAAATAAATAGAAAACCCATTGCTTATGGTGATATATTGGGGTAGGTTTTAAGTGTAAAACTATAAAAGTAAAATAAATAAATACATATCTCCCCAGGATCCAGTCAAGAATGTATGAATTATAGGCAAGTCAATGTTAATTTATACCGCATTTCATACACAAGGTTACTCAATGCAAATATATATTCCCTCAATTTGTTGCCAACACAATGTAACCACTGTATAATACTTTGTTTCATAAAAGTACTTATTTACAGGGCCATCATAATTAAGGCTATCCAGGTAATTGTAGTGTAGCAATAAAACGTTTGTAGAAGTGGTGCAGATTTGGTTAGTGTCACGAGGAACACTGGTACACAGCATCATTTTCAATATTTAACGGAATTATACACAACGAGCAATTTGCGCCAAAAAATGTGTTCAATTTCATTCAAAACTGGAGTTCAGTGTGTTTTGGAGCTTATTTTTTGTATTTTCAATGAATATTTGCAGTAACACAGTTATATAACATCACTATTTTCAAATATATGTACAATTAATGCCTGTTGGAATACATTTTAGTGCGTTTTAATTACATTTAAGGCCTTTGTTTCACAATTCATTCAATAATAAATAAATGACCCTAACAAATTGATATATTGCCACACAGTAGTGCATTTCTTTAAAAAAAAGAAAGAAAGAACAGAACAGACCATTTTAGAACACACAATTTTTAATAAAAATTACATAGCACATGGACTCAGAACAGTATTTTAGAAGTTTAGCAGTACTCTAAAAACATGTTATTTTTTCTTTTCTTTTATTCTTTTATATTTATTTATTTAGTATTTATATATATTTGGGGGTGAAGAAAAAAAAAAAAAAAACACGTTTAATTACTGACCCCCAGAGCTTTTCTCTTCAGTCCATGTTTCCTCTCTGGGGCGTACCGCAGCCATTTTTTGACAACGTCTCCAAAGGCCAATTCAGTAATGGACTTGTCATAATGACGTGCAGCCGCTAAAAAGGGTAAGAAAAAACACACAAAAATAAGTAAATCAGAAAAAAACAAAACCTAACTTTATTTATACACTGCATATGACATAGGGTTCAGATTAGGTTACAAATAATTTGTTACCTGAAATTTGGTAAAAAGTATTCAGGATTGTTAGGAAAATAAATAAATGAATAACGTTAATAAACACAATAAAAGACGCGCGCACAAAAAAAAAAAAGTTTTATTTAGTTTTAGAGCCTAATAGCAAAGAAATAATGTATGTTTTATATAGTTTAAAAGTTTTAGAGGTTATGCACATGCTATCGAAAAAATTAACATCAAATCAAGTTCTACAGTATGGCCCTTAAGGGTCCTATATCATGCAAAATCAACTTTTAGAGCTTTTAACCATGTTGTAATGTTATTTCCTTATCAAAAACACCTCCAGAGTGTTATTTGGTTTCATTCACGCATATCTCAGTAATCCTAATGAGTCATGCTCTATGAGCAGCAGTGCCCATTTTACTCATTTCACGTAAGATTGTAAAACCAGGAAGTGCCCGACATCTGTAATGTAATGAAGAATGTGAGCATGTGTGCCTTACGGCCTGATTTCAATTCGTAAAACAGCTTTTCCATTATTTCTGTAAGAAAGTGCCCGACGTGTCTGCGCTGCCCCAGCAGACTAAACAAACACAGCGCTGAAGTTAAGAAGTGGCTCCTTTCTAACCTACTCTGGACACTCTTTTATTCTTACCTAACGATAATTTCTCGGCAAAAATGCGTGTTTGGCTGCAAGAGGTACAAGACGTTATTCAAACTTCCTAAAGACTAACCAGACAGAATCTGTTTGTCTATGATTGTCACTTCACCAATGGCTGTTTGGCAAACCTTGGCCAGAACCAAAGAGGATTAACTCTTACAAAAATAAAAACACCCGATGGGGAGGCCAGAGCAGTAAGTAAATCAAAATGCGATCATTATATTTCTACGACATGAGCGGTCATTATTTTTTCAGAGGTCCTCTAGCACAGTGGTTCCCAAAGTGGGGGTCCCGACCCCCCGGGGGGTCGCGGGAACCCCTGGGGGGGTCGCAAGATGATTTCTACACAAACAAAAAAAAAAGATTTTTTTTTTTTGAGCAAATATAAAGCCCTTAAATATTTATTTAGCATTTGATTTGATTCAAAAGGACTACTTGTTAAATTGTGTTTGGAGACTATAATATATTTTAATAACGTTAGTAATTTTGTCCCAGTCATTGCAGCGTCAATCAAAATCATCACGTAACACAGCTCACATCATGCGCAGCGGCAAAGCGTGTCCTGCTGTTGTTTGCTAAAACTAAAGGTGTTTGGAGGCTACAAATAAATAATACCTGCTTTAAAATGAAACGTGGTTAATATCCACAACAGAAAAACCCGGAGGGGGAGAAAAGTCACTTGTATCAGGGGTCAGGCTGATGGTGCGAAGAGAGGGCAGAGGAGGGAGAGAGGGCAGCGGAGGGAGGGAGGACAGCGGTAGAACAGCGCGTTAAAGAGGCCCGGCTTTTCGGAGTCAAAGGTAAAGAGGTCCGCACATTAAAAGCGGGTGGCCGGTTTATGCCTTTACTGACAGAAACTTTGGAAAGAGAAGCCGCGGGGATGAACTGCATAAAGTAACAGCAGAAAGCGGCCGCCCGCTTTTAATGTGCGGACCTCTTTACCGCTGACTCCGGAAAGCCGGCCCACTTTACCGCGGTAGGAGAACAGTGAGGGCGAGCCGCAAGAAATGCGCTCCACTTCTGCTGAGGAGGGAGCCCACCAAGCCCATCACTGTCACTACATGAGTAAAAATATGCAAGCCTCCTTTTTTGGGCTGGACAGTGCAGCTCGGTAGTGGCGTGAGTCTCTAGAAAGCGTTACTCCGTATCAAGGAAATACATGCTCATTTCATGTGACGGAAGGGATGTGGGGGGGGGGGGGGGGGGGGGGGGGGGGGTCGCGGGTTAGCAGGGCATTTATGATGGGGGTCGCGGGCTAAAAACTTTGGGAACCCCTGCTCTAGCAGAAAAGTCATGACCCGTAGAACGCTGGAAAATCCCATTCAAGTCAATGGAGCGTTCTACTTGCATTGTGAAGAGCCGTATAATAAATGCCTTTAGTTTACCCTTTAATTTGAGACAGACTCACCAAACATGCAGTCCAGTAAGGAGGTGCTCTCGAAGGCCCTTTTACCTCCTTTTCCCTTCCAGTTAAAGAGGCAGGCCAATTGGTTTGAGAGGACGGCTGACGCCATGCGCCGAATCATGCAGCCAGAATCCACCCCTCCGACTAATGTCAAACGGGCCACCTTAAAGAATAAGAAAAAAATGGTGTCATGAACAATACAATTGATATTGAAATGTAGTTCATATGTCAGGTAGATGTTTTCACATCTAGGAAAAATTCTAATCCTACTTTACTATATTACTGTTATTCACCAGCTTCCGTCGCATTGCCTCTTCCTTAAGCACTGTCTCCAGGTCATTGAACTGCTCCTTGGTCATCAGTGGAAAAGCCATGGGAAAGTCTCTGCCCTCAGATCCTTTTCCTCCATGTAGCATTGTTTTTATGTTCATTATTTCACTTTTCACAAACTGCATATCACGCCCGAGCTGCTTTACTTCTACCAGAATCTCTGCCAGCATGGCTGTAGTTTTATTTCCAGTAATATCTTGAAAAAGCACACATTTTACATTAATTTCATTAAAACATTGTATATGACATTACATTGAAACCAAACAATACAAACAACCAAACTACAACATTGCAAAAATAACCATAAAAGCATTCTCCTCTGCCATCAGACTCATGAACACCAGACAACTTGCACTGTTGTATTTGCACTAAGTAGGCGACTTACACCGTACTTATCTTAGACTTATTTTTATTACATGACCTTAAAGCTTTATTAATTATTATTATCTACTGTATGTTGCATCATTGCAAAAAATCCTAGAAGCTACAAAAAACACCAACTCCAAACTTCTCACACTCACTATTCGGTATAACAACTACAATCTTCCAATCCAAGCTTGAAACAAATCTGAGATGGTCGAGCAGAATGCATTTCTTGATTTAACATGGAATGGTATATTTACCTTTAAACAATTGCTTTGTTTCCTTGGAGCTTTTTTCAGGAGCTGCGCCTACAATGAATGGTTAGTTGTGCTTAGTTGTGATTGATGGGGAAAATACAACAAAGAATTTGGAGCAACTAAACTATTAGTACAGTGTGAAAATAAAGAATATATTGTACCCGTGGTGGTGAGGATGGGTGACCCAAGGCCAGAAGAACTGCTGCCAGTTGTAAATATGTTGTCTGAGGTTAGAAACAGCAAACAAAATGAATGGTGCACAAACAATGAAAAACTAATCATGCTGTGAACGAATAGCAGTTGTAAATGACATTCACAAACATACAGAAGTAAGAAATGGTATGGTTTGAGTTTAAGTTTTTAAATTATGGAGTAGAGTTACACAATAAGAAAAAAATGTTTTTATGTTTTTGGCTCTATAAACCACCACAATGGATCTGAAATGAAACAACAAAGATGTAGTTAAACTGCAGAGTTTCAACTTTCATTTGAGACTATTTACATCCACATGAACGATGTAGGAATTACAACCGTTTGTATATGTGCCTCACACATTGGACCAAAAGTAATGGGACAAGTGGCTGCTCAGCTGTTCCATGGCCTGGTGTCTGCTCTTCCCTCATTATCTCATTTATAAGGAACAGATGAGACGTCCACAGTTCATTTCAAGTGTGATATTTGTATTTTGGATACTGTTGCTGTTAAATAGGATTTGCAACCAAAAGGAAAACGTTTGATTTATAATTGTTACTTGATCCCTTAAAAAGTAGGAGGCTCACATACAAATGGTTCTAATTCCTGCACCGTTCATCCGATTTGATGTAAATACTCTAAAATTAAAGCTGAAAGTCTGCAGTTTAAGTAGATTTGTTTCATTTGAAATCGATTGTGGTGGTTTATTGAGCCAAAAACATAAGAATTGAATCAATGTCCCAATATTTATGGACCTGACTATAAGTAATGTATCCCACACATTTTTACTTTTTACTTACCATCATTAAAGAGCTCCTGTGATTGAAACTGTGTCAGAGAGTTGGCATCAAAGCCTGAAAGAATAAAACCAAAACAAACTAAAAATTATAAAACATATTAAATTACCAGCAAAGCTTATAAACATAGGGCAGGGCTATTAATCAAAATCGCAATCTCTACTTTGGTCAATCTCAATAATTGTCATGAGTCTTTAAAATTCTCAGGTTAGGTTTTCTTTGGCAGAAACAGCACCTAGTTTTGGAGTGTGGATGAAACAATGGAAGATTTTTGTGCAGTAGTTGTCAACTGGCGTCGGGACCCTATGATGTCAAAACATGTTGTTGAATAAGCATCAAATAAGAAAAGCTTAAATTATTATCAAACCAGCCTGATCATTTCAGCTTGGCTTGAGACCCACTGAAAACCCACCTTTGGGTACTAACCCACCAGTTGAGAACCACTATGTTAAATGGTACTGGAGGGAAGCATTTGTTTTTTGTTTGAGCTGAAGTTTGTAAAAACGGACTGTTAATCAATCAGCTATATATTCTAGTATGAAATACTATAATTGAATCAAAAATCGAGATCGATCAAATGTAAGAAAAAAAAATTGATTACATTTTTTGCCATAATGTCTAGGCCTATATAACATACTTGTAATAAGTGGATCAGATAATTCTTCATCCTCTATGCAGATGGCTCTGGAGACTAGACAAACAGTATTGTTATTTGTATAAAACTCTAAATATGTATAATCTATCCCGTAACATTTTCTAATATAACAACATTGCATACCAGTGTGTGACAGGGGTGCCTTCGTAAAATGGCTAGATGCTGGCATTTCTTTATTAACAAATAAACATAATTGATTAAATGTTGAGCACTTATACAAATGTTGAATACTTGTCATCTTTGTACCTGGAAAATTGACCTGTGGTGCTTTTGCAAATCTTTTTCCAGAACCTCTTTCTGGCTCCTCTCCTCCATCTACATATAATGGATTTGGTCTAAAACAAACAAAGCACTTTGTGTTTGCAGTTTGGTTTCAAACAAAATAGGCAATTATTTAGATAGTCAATGTCGTGCGGACAAAAAAAATATATGTATATAAGGACGTCACAATTTGTTTAACATAAAACAAAAAAGGTCCCATGAGTATGTCTGAGCTGAGTATCAAACAAAGATTTATCAGCAGAGGTCCCAAACAGAAATGTTTGTGATGGATCAAGCGTGTATCGCTCTCTAATAACCAGCCATTTGCACTACTCTATTGGACTATGTGGTATGTCTACACTTAGATCTGCTGCTATCACTTAATGCACGTGCACATTTGTGAATACACTTACTCTGTTGTTCTATTTCAAATTGTTGTCATCTTTATCATATTTGAATTTATTTTAAATTTGCATATATTGATTATAGCCTTATAGCTTTAAAGTTGTATAGTTTATTTTTATCTAAATTATGTGTTACATGTTTTATGTTCCATGTTGCATGATTGTACTGGGAAAAAAATCCTAGTGAACCTGTTCTGAAACAATGGCAATGAACACTATTCTGATACTGATTTCTTGTCTCCAACAAAAAGCCAGAAAATTATCATTCCAAAAATCTAATTTAAAACAAGCAACTAAAGTGTACCTTGATTTCCTCTTTTTTCGCTCACTCGCCTCATCTTCGGACTCCAAATCAGTGGTTGCGCATTCGGAGTTTATGTACTTTCTCTCCAGTTGTGTGGCCTTTGCATACGAGTCTGAAATAAAGAATTCATTGAATTTTTATAATCAATACTTACAAGTGTTTGAAGGCAGAACAAGGCATCATCTCAAGCAGGGGTGGGCAATTAAATTTTATAACATGAGTAACCTGGACTGAGTTTGAGGGTCACATGACAACTTGAACTTAATTCTGTTTCTCCCATTGCAAAATGCACTAAATTATATCTGTAACTCGCTTGATAGTAATTGTAAATATTGTATACAAAAAAAACAACGTTAACAAAGGGGGCTATCATGTCGCTTTTGGATGAAATACATAAATTAAAAAATATATAGAACCAATTGAGCCCACTCAAGGGGTGGTAATGGTGCCTCTGATAAACGCAATTTGGCTTGGAACAAACAGAAAGAATTATAGATTGTAGAAAAGGCTGTCTATAGCCTGGCAAGCTGGCCCTTTAAGGGGCAGGGCCTAGCCCACAGGTGTGCAGCATGAGCAAAGTGAGATTCTCGAGGTCGGCGTTACGTCACGAATCATGTGACCTGCGTAGCAACCAACCGCCGCCATGTTTGAAGGGTAAAACAAACCGAAGGCGAATCCAAAAGGTATCTATTTACATATGTTTTGCCGTGGATTATGTCAGTTATGGATACTAACGGACAACTTTGAATTATTGATGAATGATATCTGTGTATGCGAATGTATGTTGGTGGTGTAAACATTCAGGGCTTGCTTAGCTGGAGGCAGGAATCTAAATTCCTATCTATTTCCATTGTAGCTGTTGTCATAAAGAAATGTCTAACTGTTGTTGGAAATATCAGATAAACCTTATTTTATTAACGCAAATGTAATTCCTCTTGTTCTTGCACCTTAAGCCACAACAGGACCACCTTTTTCAGTTGTAGTTTTACACTTATAATCGCCAGTTTTAGTTTAATCTTATTTCTCTTGCCTGCAGCTGATGTCACTGATGATGTATATACCACATGTATGGAGTGAATGTAAACACTCATGTAAAGCGCTTTGTGACTAGCTACATGTCTGTGAAAGGCACTATATGAATACAGATCTTCTTCTTCTATTGCAGCATGTCATATCAGTATATTGACAGTCTCCTAGCGCCTGCATTGACCAGGTACCACAGAAAGCTGTCGCTTGTAGGTTTACAATCTTGTCCCTATCGGCATCCAGCAGAGTCCTGGGAAAACAACCCAAAGGCATGGCCCAGGCTCGAGTATCCAGACATATACAATTACATCATCAAGTCCCCTGGTATGAACACCATGTGTACATACCATGTGTCCTACACTTGTAGTAATATTTAAATACCCATCAAGCATCGATAACATTAACTATGTTATGACATTCAAAAGCATTCTGTTACAATGTGGCTGTAATGAGCTCAGTCTGTCAGTGGCACAGCTTGTACAGTGTAAGTGAGGGACACAGTTTTTTTCAAAAGCCAAAAAAGGCTAACTGCAGAAATTCCACTTATTCCCCACACAACTAGTGCATTTCATTGTTGCTTATCGGTGTGGAGCTGCCGACCATTATGCATAGCGATGTCATAACATAGCAACAGAAAACAGTGGCATGGCATTGGTATTATTTTGTTATTCTTTGATTTGCCCCTCAATGTGTCCATTCATTTGAGATTACATTTCTATTTAAATTTTAAAGTAAAATGGCATACCCTCTTCACACTTTTTATGACTGGTTATTTTTTGCAATAACCAGTCATCAGATTACATTTTATTGAATGTAGTGTCTAACGACAACAGCAAGACTTTAACATTTCTAATGAGAAATAGTTTATTAGACATTGTATAAGTAGAAATGAAAGATATGGAATCTTTTAGTTCTCCTCCAAGGTTTCTCACTTTTTCCCACTGGGTTTTTTAAGAGTTTTTCCTTGTCGATGCAGGAGGGTCTTGTTGGACAGTTAGTGTCCAACAGAAAGGATTGGTGATGATCAGGACACTTTAGCATTCTACAACATGTATGGACATTTTCTTCTGTGTGTGCTTTATATTCTTCATGTGTTTTAACTGTTGATTCTCTGACCTGTGTTGGTGATTTCAATGGTTTTGTTAAGTCCTCTGAGATGACTTCTGTTGTGACCTAGGGCTATACAAGAATAAATTGTATTGTATTGTATTGTGTAAATACTAAAAGACGTGAAGATTGACATGAAAACATTTGTATCATTTACTTGCAATTTGTCAGTGTTTTTGCTCTGGTCAATTGTCACTCTCCTAGATGTGATATGTTAATGTATAAAAATAAAATTATTTCCCTTTCTTCATTTTCTTTTGTTTCAGGTGTATTTAGTATTATGATGGTGGAGACCGAATCATCGCTGATTTTGTCAATGCCTAATTCCGTCTGCTGCAGGTCTTGCATTTCCATGCAGGGTGTTGACACTTCTTGTTGCAACTCTTCTGGGACACTTGTCTCCTCAAATTCCAGTTGCTTCTTCACCTTCCTTTCCTTTCGTGATACTAGAGTAGTGGATGGTGCTGAAAAAAATAGATAAAAGGTATATATTTTGCAAATGATCACAGAAATTTTAAGTCATGGCCTCATATTTATAATAATAATAATAATGCATCAGTTTTATGTAGTGCTTTTCTGGACACTCAAAGACGCTTAACATTGCACTATTCATTCACTCCATACTTGGTGGTGGTAAGCAACTATTATAGCCACAGCTGCCCTGGGGTAGACTGACTGAAGCGAGGCGACCAGTCTGCGCCATCGGCCCCTCCGACCACCACCAACCACTCACTCACTCACTCGGCTTCCTGGTGTTACTAAACGGCAGTATATTTAGTATTGAGTTGGATTGGGACGACAAGTCATAATAGTCGACTATGACTAGAAAGCAGCGACCAGTAGACTAGTTTTGTACTATAAATACCATCTTACCAAGAATTTCCAGGCTAGGCATTATGTACAAAAATCTGCATGACTAGTTACTTTGTAGATGCAATGACTTTTTCATACAGGAGGTAATTTTGTTTTCAAGGAAAATACATTTGTTAGCAAAATCTGTATTTTTACACAGATTACCATTTTTGTAGCAGTTAACCTCCCAAGTACTACTTTTTCAAATTTGTCATTAGAAATCAACATGTATTTTTTATTTATGTATTTCATATGGGGGACAACATTCTATTTCACAAGGTGCTTGTATCAATTGTTGTACACAACCTCATTGCAATATGGAATCTTTTAATTCTTAACTGTGCATTGGAAATGCAGCTCATTATCTGCAGGTACGGTTTTACTGCAGTGTAAAATAAGAGCAAGAAACACAATTTGCTACTATATATATGTCTGCATAAACAAAATCTACTGCAATTTTTTAGTTTTAAATTTCAAGTGTTGTGTCAAACAAATTCAGATAATTTTTGGTCATTGATCTAGGAGCAAACTAGATGCATGTTGATCACACTACAGTTTGATGGGGTTTTTTTCTGTTAACGATAGGGTGCTGTGGGTAGCAAACTTACCTTTTCTTTTCTGTGCTCTCTTGAAGCGATCAAGTGTGGTACTCTTAGTCAATTCCTTCAGCACTGCTTGCGGGAAAATGGACGGAGTGTAATCTGGGTATGCGGGGTTGTTGTTCTTCTTTCCTGTTCAAGGAGCAAAGTGACAAAATCTAAAGATTCCCACTGAGTAGCTCCAAGCCAGCTGGAGCCATTTCTCTCTCCTTTCTGGCTCAGTTGCCTCGCTAGGGATCATGTAAAAGGATAGGTCACTCCTTTTTACGCTGTTGTTGGTACAACAAACAATACAACAGTTTTTCGGCATGGATTGTAACGCTCGTTTGTCTTTCGCTTTGTGTTGCTTAATGGCGGGCGCTGGTTTGTTTTACCCTTCGCCGCGTTGCTATGCGCGCGCAGTGCATTATGGGAGTCCAAGTTCCCGGATGTCCGACCTCGAGAATGAGAAGAGGAAGAGACGCATCGCAGTTAGTTCTGAAGGTTCTTAAAGCTGCACTAACTGACTTTGGGATTTTGAAGCCGCGGACTCGCTGGCCTCGCTCTTTCTGCTCCCCTCCCCGCACCCACGAAGCTATCGCCCCCCACACACACACAGTGTTGAGACGGAGCTAGCCTCTCCCAATATGGATAATACATGTATATGGATTTTCACGTGGATGGCGTGACCATAGAACGATAGAACCGGGAAGCGCGGAGGAATGAGACTTTCTTTTGGATGGCTGTTTCGCCGTGTAAGCAGTAACCGGTGACGAAGACGAGAAAGTTTCAGGTTAGCTCCGCCGCTTGTTGTGCTAACTCAGCTGTCTATGCTAACGGACCTGGAGATTTCTCACGAAAGTGGGGGCTAGTGGTGCGCTGTGATTGGTCACAATCTGCGACCCGAAACACATTCTCTTCCTTGTTTCATCAAAACTCGATCGAAAATATAATGTCAGGCCAGCACAAATCTGCGCTACTTTTTCTTCAAAAGGACGTATATCCCAATGCACTACATGGACATGGATAGCATTTTCGTAATTAATACGAAAATAAAGTCAGTTAGTGCAGCTTTAAGTTTAGTTGCAGTTTGTTAGTCAGACTACTTTGAAGATGTTTGTGCGTGCACATTACAAGTGTTTAATATAATAAGCCAAGTTTGTGGTGAAATTTACCTGTTTTACTGTTACTGTAATTGGTGCCATGCACTGTTTACGTGAGCACATGTGGATATACATAAGCGGTTATATGTTTAAAGTGAGTATGACAGTAGTATTTTTATTTGAGTAGAGACTGATACCGGATTATTTTCTGTTTTAGTGTAAAGGACAAACAACTAATTCAAGCCTGCATTAAAATGCCACCAAATCATCACCTCTGGTCTAAAGACTGGCATGTTAAAGGCTGCGCCTAGCTCACCGGTGTGCAGCATGCGGGAAGAGAGGAAAAGAGAGGAGAAAGGAGACGTGTCAGAGTTTACTGTTCCTTGATTTTTTTATTTTTTTACCCCAGTACTTTTTGATTATTGCTTATTTGCCAGCCCACTTTGTTGTTGATGTTGTTTGTAATCAACTTGATTCATCACCCAGCACCCAAATGGCAAAAAATAGATACATAAATACTCACCACAGGTTACCATATGACGGATATTTACATATTTGGTCCAGTCATTTTGGGGCGGTGTTCTCTCTTGTACTGCTCTGGTCACATGTACATTTTTTGGGGGCCAAAATACAGATTTCTCTGATTCATTGAACCAGTTGGTTGGCACTGTTGCCAATCCATTGTTGGGGAATTGGACAACAGCCCACAGCACCACCTCGTTTTCCATCCTGTATTAAAAAACAAATCTGCCTTTGTACAGCAACAGCAGCAGCAACAAGAACAACAAGAACAAGAACAACAAGAACAACAACAAGAACAACAAGAACAACAACAAGAACAACAAGAACAATACAAAAGCCTACAGCATATGCACCATTGGAATAGCAATGAGGTTGCCTTCAACTGCATCTGGATAAAGGACACATTTCCTTTTCACAGAACAGAATCCACAAACCTCCAACGCATCAGACAGCTCACTCACTTTATAAATGCCCAAGCAAGAGGAAACACAAGGATAACTGAAAGATGATGCTTTTTCTGCAAATCTTTTGTAAATCACATAGATTTCTTCATCTTTCTTGACAACATTCTGCACTAATGCAATGTCATCTCCTACTTCAAAACAGTTGTCTCCCTGCTTTATAGACAAAGTAAAATTCATGCAGGAGACCTTGGAGTACTGGGTGGCAACACAGAATTGTTGTGGAAGTGGACCATTTGTATGTATCTGCTGAAGGACTGGTTCATTTGTTGGCAATGGACATGCTGCATGCAACACTTCAGACAACCGCTTCACTACTTGTTGCAAAGGCTGATGCGGCTTACGCAAAAGATTCTTTATTTGGCCAAGACAGTTTTCAAATGGAAAGCCAGATACATTATCAAGAGATCCAAAGTTTTTGTATTCTTCAGCCAAATGAATAAGTTGGTGCACATTGTACACGATCTGCTCCTTGCCATACAACTTGCCGTAATGCTGCACAAAGGAAACCATCAACTGGTGTGCAAAGTCAATCATTTGCCTGGAGAGTCCTGGAGACAAAAACAAATACATAGCCACCGAATACAACATGAAGTTATCATAAAGCTCACTTGGAAGGCAATCTTTCAGTACCAGAGGACCCCAGTATAACATGAAGGACCTAAACTCTGTCGCTTTCCAGCGATCAAGCTCCACCAAAGCCCTTGGTTTGCGGTTAAACTCACAAGGAGTATGGACTTGTAACTCCAGCAGCTTCTGTGATAGACTGTTAACTGACTGCGTAGAAAGCCTAACAGTTAGGGGGCCCTTTAGCCACATATTCAACAGCTTTCGGGTTACCCCAAGACAGCAAAGGTGCATGTAATCTATTGGGAACATGGACACCATTTTCACTACACCTGTCAAAGGGCTAAGCTTCTGTTTCAAGTGATGCTCTTCGTCAACCATGTCACAAAAACTTGAGTCTGTTCTGAGCCTGACATTGGTTTCAGGATATGTCATCTTGTTTCTCCAGACACCCTCCTGATCACACTTGTCGCATCCAGAATAGCCATTATGAGACTTGATGTTCTTTACATAGGCCCTGGCAGGGGCATCACACACAAATGAGGAAACAAGAACCTCAAGACGCCTACCATTGTGACTTATGCCTTTAGCAAGAACATTTTTAAGGTCACTTACAAATTCCTGCAGAAACTCAAACACACACTTTGGTTTACTCAAACCACAGAATATACCAACTACAAATGGTGAGTGGGTGTAATCACATTTCAGCATGGCAAGAATGGGCCAGAATTGAAGTTTGGAACTTCTGAAGATGGGAAGACCGTCTATATTAAATTGTAAAGCCAGACTTCGGACACTCGCAGGCAAGCTCAAACATCTCAGTCTAGATAGTATTCCTTGCTCCAAGCCACAATGAAAGTAGTCGCCGCCTTCCATCTTAGTGGTTGGAACTTTGGATATTGTTCCGAGCAGTGTTCTACCATCTTTGGGAAGAGAATGGTGAAACTGCCTCAAAATAGACAGTAGAGCAGTCAAAGCAACTAGACTAACTGAAAAAGAAGTGAAAAAAGAAGAAGAAGCAAATCCCCACTTGGCTCATCATCAGAGTCCAAAGAATATTCAAACTCCTCACTGCTCACTACATGATCTTCAACTTCTTTTGAACAACATTCAGTAAAATCACTTTCCATCTGAGGAGTGGAAGCTGGAAGTTGGTACTCAGATGCGCTGGGGAGTGACACATTTGATGTCTGCACATCTGTGTCATTAAATGAGTCCTCATTTTCCCTTGACACCTCATATTCCATCAAGATGGCCCTCTCTGTGTCCCTAACTACCTTGCTGACTCTACGTCTTTTAGCCCAATATGAAGACATCCTAATTGCATTTGAGATGGTGCTGTAAAAATTGCATTACTTGATTGCTTTCAACTTGGGACTTCTGTAAAAGAGAAATGGAAATCATTATTAAAGCTTTTAGATTTGGTTTTAATGCTTTTTGATTTTTCTGTCTGAAAGTGAATGACTAGTACAAATGAAGTGTATGTGAAATGCTGTATTTACTCACAAATAAATATTTAATTGGCATAAAACCTTGTGTCTTACCATGACATTGTTTTATTTTACATTATAGGCTATTCAACTTTAACCTTATAAATCGCAGTGTGCTAATCATAGATCGTGGCTTTACCGAAGTGCTTTAGCCCCCTCTATTGGGTGGGGAAAGTTATTGTTAAACTAAGCAGCGAATTATTAACTACCTGAAAAGTAATAAAACCCATTTGCATAACACAACCTTAATACCATCCTTGTTCCCTAAAGCCTAGCGTACATCGACAGAGAAACTGGGGACAACTAGTTGCAAGGCGGCTTTTGGCAACTGAGAGGAGATGGTGGGAGATGATCAGTTGCCGAAATCGGTCGATGTGCGCGCTAAACAGTTATCTAAACAGATAAACAGTTGGTCTCCAGTTTCAGTCAGTTGCCCGTGTTCTACTTTTCGGCAACTAGTTGTCCTCAGTTTCGGAGATATGACCCGATGTGCGCGCTCCATGCGCCGCTCCGACAACGTGTGTGTATTGCGCGCCCGCAACAGTTTATGTCAGAAAACACACTGTAGGTGACGGACAGTTGCTGTCGATGTACGCGCTGTTATTCCCGAGACTGGTCTGCTACTGGGAGTTGCCCGTTTTCGTCAGATTGTCGATGTGTGCGGGGCAGCAACTCATATGCGACGGATATAATCAGTTGCCAGTCCGATGTACGCTAAGCTTTATCAACCGGGTGCTGAGGAATTGTAAGCAGCTAAAAACAGCCCCTTAAACTGAGCTTTTCTCCGAGCTTTTTTGGTGGCAAAGTTTAACGTTAGCTTGGCATAATGTTGGTTACACATCAGCTTCTGACAAACTACTAAGAAAATAGCATAACTTAGCCTAAAGCAACACCTTACATTCTATTTATTAGCTCACTGATCACACCCAAGACGATGATTTAAGTTTAGAAGCGATGAGCACTTACCAGTTCTGACTTTCTCCGTCTCCGTCTCCGAGATGCAGGGGCGCTGTACATTTAACTAAAATCTCCCGGGCTTGTAGTCCTTATATCGAAACAACATTGATTTATTGGGAATTTTTCAACCAAAAAAAATATACAACCGATTTTCAACAGTGATTCAATGTTACACTTTTAATGGTTAAATTTCCATCTGTAAAATAAGGTTGATTCAATGTTACACTGTTAATGGTTAAATTTCCATCTGTAAAATAAGGTTGATTCAATGTTACACTTTTAATGGTTAAATTTCCATCTGTAAAATAAGGTTGATTCAATGTTACACTTTTAATGGTTAAATTTCCATCTGTAAAATAAGGTTGATTCAATGTTACACTGTTAATGGTTAAATTTCCATCTGTAAAATAAGGTTGATTCAATGTTACACTTTTAATGGTTAAATTTCCATCTGTAAAATAAGGTTGATTCAATGTTACACTTTTAATGGTTAAATTTCCATCTGTAAAATAAGGTTGATTCAATGTTACACTTTTAATGGTTAAATTTCCATCTGTAAAATAAGATTGATTCAATGTTACACTTTTAATGGTTAAATTTCCATCTGTAAAATAAGGTTGATTCAATGTTACACTTTTAATGGTTAAATTTACATCTGTAAAATAAGGTTGATTCAATGTTACACTTTTAATGGTTAAATTTACATCTGTAAAATAAGGTTGATTCAATGTTACACTTTTAATGGTTAAATTTCCATCTGTAAAATAAGGTTGATTCAATGTTACACTTTTAATGGTTAAATTTCCATCTGTAAAATAAGGTTGATTCAATGTTACACTTTTAATGGTTAAATTTCCATCTGTAAAATAAGGTTGATTCAATGTTACACTTTTAATGGTTAAATTTCCATCTGTAAAATAAGGTTGATTCAATGTTACACTTTCAATGGTTGAACTTATGTCCATAAAATAGTGTTGATTCAACATTCTTTTTTTAATTATTGATTTATTATCTGTAATAAAACATTGAATCAACATTTTTTTTTCAACCTCAACCAAAAGTCAACCATCTGACCCTAAATCAATGTTGAAACGATGTCCTTTTGCTATCTGGGATTAGAGTTCTACACAATCATCAATCTGGCTCTTGCCAGGTTAACCATTTGTTGTAAACAACAAGACTTCAATCTGGCTGCTAGCAGTACTTAGCGCCAAGCTAGCGGTACATTGAATGCATTCATAAAGTCTTCTGTGAGATTAAAACGGCCAAGATAATGTAAAAGACATTCCCGTTATACTTGAATTGAAAACATGTGTTCTCGGGGAGCCTAAACACAGAGAGTACACTATAGCTTGCATTAAAGATGCTAGCAACTACAGCAAATACTAACAACGTCATGACCAGGGAGTCTCATCCAAAATAAGGTTTGTTGTCATTTTAGTTTACCGAAGTGCTGTGTTCGTTGTCTCCGTAGAGATGGAAGGGACTGACCCCTCCCCTCAATAAGACGAAGTCTTTCGGCAAATCCTTCCTGGTGCTGGCGAAGAACGCTGAAGCAGTCATCCTTGAAGTGCTTTGCACAAACAAATGACTATACCCACAGATGTGGGCACATTTCTGTGAAAAACAAAACTCAACCAAGTACTTCGCAGACGTTCTGATGCTGGGAGGCGGTGTGATGAAGCGTGTGGGTTCACCAATTACCGAACATTTGGACTTATTCGCTGGCATCCTTGAACTTGGACTACAAATTTGAAGTGATACACAGAAATGGCAGCTTGGCCGAAGTGATAAGCCAGACACCTATGCTCTTATATAGCAGTCCCACTGCAAATACTGTGGCGTAATAATTAAAAACACGTAATGGAGAATGGAAAAATCAGAACGGGTTGTGAAATCTTACCAAAACAGAATATAAATTGTTCTATGCAACCCATGAATAGACTTTTTCCACTCCTAGAGACTCCAATTACACAACAAAAGCCATTTAAGGCACAAAAAGATTTTTCATGGGGGGTCTGACTTCCGGGTAGCAATGGAGTAGCATCTCTGAGACGGTGCTCCCATCGGACATTGATAAATACAGCATTTAAAAACGATTAGAACCAACAAAAGAGTTAACTCCGGCTATTAAGCCTGTTTGTGCGTTGAGGGATATGAGGCGAAGCTCACGGAAAGGAGGAAATAAGCAACTATCTCAGACGCAAAAGTCCATAGCATCCTACACCGTGGGCAAGGATAAAATGGCGGAAGTGGATTCCCCACAAAGTCTTGAAACCGCTGCTGTTTCTACACTTGATTTGGCAATTCTCCGCCATGAACTCCAGTCACACCGGGACGACATAAAGATGGATATTGGAACGCAGATTTTGGATCTCAAAGAGGACATTTCGTCCCTGCGCAATGATACCAGAGCAGATATTAAAACCCTTCGTGAGGACCTAACTGGGGAGCTAGCTAAACTTAGCAACAAACAAGCAGAGGCTACGCGGCAGATGGAAGACATGGGGAATACGCTAAGCGACACGATCAAGATTCAAGATTCAAGATTCATTTATTGGCCATGTGCAGTTAAAAAAACCACATTGGAATACATTCGCAAGAAAGGCACTCCGTGTGCACCGACAGAACAAAAACACGACACAATGCAATACAAAACACACATACACTGAACATAAAACAATAAAAAAAAAAAACAGCTGACACTGTGGCACCGATCAACAAAACAATACAGGGGTAAAAGCAGTTTAAAAGCAGGTAAAAGCAGAATTTAAAATGCTCTGTTTAGGCACCTAACAGCCTGTGGGAAGAAGCTGTTAGCATAGCGAGATGTCTTGCATCTCAGTGACCGATATCTTCTGCCAGAGGGAAGAAGCTGGAACATGGCTTTCCCAGGGTGGCCAGAAGAGTCGTTGATGATTTTAAGAGCTTTGTTTAAAAGTCTGGATCTGTAAAGAACCTCCAGAACAGGAAGCTCACAGCCCACGGTCCTCTTTGCAGAGCGGAGCACCTTGTTTAAAGCTCTCTTTTCTTTATCTGTGATGTATCCAAACCACACAGACACAGAACCAACAAGTAAACTCTCAATGGTGCAGCGATAAAAATTAAGCAGAATCTTAGAATTAGTGGTAAATTCTCTAAGTTTCCGCAAAAAGAAGAGCCGCTGACGAGCTTTCTTAACAACCCGGTCAGTGTTTTTAACCCATTTCAGGTCGTTAGACAGAGTTAAACCCAGGAACTTGCACTCCTCTACGATCTGCACCTGGGAGTTGTCAATAACAACAGGAGTGTGAGAACTGCTATGACTGAAGTCAAAGACAAGTTCACATGTTTTTGCAGTGTTCAGCTGGAGATTGTTTACTTTACTCCACTGAAAAACATGTTCGATCTCTATCGATCTCTATCGATCATGTTCGATCTCTATCGATCGACTCTATCGATCTCGATCGATAGAGTCGCCGCATTGGAGCACAACCACCAGCTTATGACCAAGAAATGCAAGACTCTCCAAGAAAAATGCGCGGACCCCGAAAACAGGAGCCGGAGATGTAATCTGAGGTTCTTTGGGGTTGCGGAGGACTCGGAGAAGGGGAATATGCTTACGTTTCTGCCGGTGTTTATTCGGGAGATACTGGGACGCGAAAGCTTTGATTCTCCCCTGGTAATTGACAGAGCCCATAGAAGTCTCGGTCCGAAGCCCGCTTCTACAGACAGAGCACGCTCGATAGTGGCTTGTTTCCACTACTTTTCGACAGGTGCACATCTTCCCTGACATGACTCCGGAGGTGGGAAAGATGCGTGCAGCCTTCACCGACATAAAGAGAAAGCTCCACGATGCTGGAGTGTCATACAGCCTCTTTTTCCCTGCGAAGCTGGTTGTCACAGTGAAAGGAGAAAGACATTCATTTGACTCACCTCAGGCAGCCGAGTCCTTCTACCAACAACATGTGAAGTAAGACTGAATAATGTCGCCTAGCTCATCGCTACTACTCGAGGAGAGGAGCGCGGACCTGATTGGTATGGCTTGTGAATGACTTTTGTGTTTGTTTTTTCTTGGGGCTGATATGAGCCAAGTTTAGCGATTGATGTAAATACTGTTGGGTTTTTTCTTAGTTTAATGTATGATACACGACAGTATCAGGTTCAAAAACTCATAATTTAAATGCTGTTAACATAATTTAGTTTTTTGACTGGTAGTGTTTTCCTTTTTTTTTATCACTTAGCTGGGTTACATTCAGCAACATGAGTAGTTTGCTGTCAAAGCTTTTTTCCCTAGCACTCGTTTGGGGAGTGTCTAAAGGGGGGGAAGGGGTTATTTGTTCTCATGAATGTTTTTGTTTTTTCTTTAGTAGCACAGACTTTATTCTGGTGGATACATTTTTTTTCACTTAACATGCTGATGTGGACCATACATTTTTTGTTTAATTTATGCTATGGCAGATAAGGAAACTTTAGTGAAATCCTTGTCCTGGAATTGTAAAGGCCTGAATGGTACATTGAAACGGAATAAGATTCTCAACCACATCAATGCACTTGGGGCAAGTATTATGTTCTTACAAGAGACCCACCTCAAAAACCGTGATCATACACACTTACGCAAAACTTGGATTGGGCATATATACCACTCAAGTTTTAACCTAAAGTCTAGGGGTGTGGCTATTTTGATTAGGAAGAATACATCTTTTGCTCTATCTGACTCCATTTTAGATCCACAAGGTAGATACGTGACAGTAACTGGGAAACTCTGTAATGTACCAGTTATTCTGGCTAACATATATGCACTCAATCATGACGACGAACACTTTATACGGTCTATAATATCATCCCTTCCGGATATACACAGTCATAGTCTGATTATGGGCGGCGATTTCAACTTCGTGCTTGACCCGTTACTTGATAGATCATCAAATAAGCAACAGAGTTTGACCAAATCTGCTAAATTGATTAAGCAATGTTTAAAATCTGCTGACTTAGTAGACCCATGGAGGCACATAAATCCCACTAAGCGTGAATATTCATTTTTCTCCCTGCGGCTTAATTGTTACTCGAGGATTGATTTTTTTTTGACAGATTATAAATTGTTACCCATAATCAAAACAATACAATATGAGGCTATAGTGCTGTCAGACCATGGACCATTAACATTAAATCTTTCATTCCCTAAACTGAATGGATCAAAAAATTGGAGAATGGATAACAGGTGTTTGGCAGAAGAGTCATCCAGGCAGTTTATTAAATCTCAGATATCTTTCTATTTTGAAACAAATGATTCCACAGAAATTTCAAGGGAAACTCTTTGGGAAGCAATGAAAGCTTTTATTCACAGTCAAATTATATCTCAGAGTGCATTAAAATATAGGAAGGAAAAACAGGAGAAACAGTTAATAACTGAACAAATTCAAACCTTGGATCAACAGCATGCCACCAACCCAGAGCCAGATATTTTGGCTAAACGTATTGCTCTGCAGGCTGAATTCAATTTGTTATCCTCAGCTTCAGCAGTGAAATTAATAGAGGAAACAAAACATCGATTCTATGAACAGGGGGAAAAACCCGGCCGACTACAGATTCAGATTCAGTTTATTTGCCATTTGCAGTAAAAAAAAACACATTGGAATACATTAGCAAAAGTCTCCAGTGTGCACAGACAAATACAGACATAAAACAACATTAAACATTACTTGCTCACCAGATTAAAGTTATGGAGGAGAAAAAACAAATTTTAGAAGTAATAACAAATCTGGGCACTTTAACTACTGACCAACAAGAAATAAACAGGGAATTTAAAAAGTTTTATGAAGTTTTGTACTTATCTGAAGTTGAAGGGAATATTACTCTGTTCAATATTTTTTTCAATGATCTACCCATTCCCTTAATAACTCAGAAATCTAAAGACGAGTTGGAAAGTCTTATCTCTCTAGTTGAGGTTAAACGGGCAATCAAAGCTTTACCTCAAAGGCACCTGACGGTTTTACAACTGAATTTTATAAATCTTTTGTTGATGAGCTGGCTCCCAGGTTACTCCAAGTTTATAACGAATCCATGACTCTTGGTAAACTCCCACCAACATTTTATCAAGCAACTATTTTTGTCATCCATAAAAAAGATAAAGATCCAAAAAGTTTGTCTGCATACAGGCCAATTAGTCTTTTGAATGTAGATGTTATAATCCTGGCAAAAATATTAAGTAATCGACTGGAAACTGTGCTACCCACAATCATACATGAAGACCAGAATGGTTTCATAAAAAAACAGACAGTTAACCCATAATTTAAGATGTCTTTTTAATATTATCTATACAAGCAATGAACAAGCTCAACCTGAATTGCTCATCTCTCTAGACGTGGAGAAGGCCTTCGACAGGGTGGAGTGGTCCTACCTCTTCTTCGCCCTGTCGAAGTTTGGATTTGGAATTCAGTTTGTTGCTTGGCTGAAACTACTGTATGCCTCCCCGGTTGCTTCCATACAAACCAATAACATCAGGTCAGAGTACTTTCCTCTAACTAGGTCTACTCGACAGGGCTGTCCGTTGTCGCCCCTACTGTTTGCAATTGCAATCGAACCTCTTGCCATTTCACTTCGTATGATGCAGAACTATTCTGGCATCACAAGAGCAAACTATGAGCATAAGGTATCGCTCTATGCTGATGACCTTCTCCTATATATCTCAAACCCTTTAATATCTATTCCTGCAATAATGAAAAAACTGGAACAATTCGGCTCAATATCTGGCTACAAATTAAACATTGGCAAGAGTACTGTTTTCCCAATAAACCGGACACTGGATGACATGCATGTTTATCGCTTACCCTTTCAGATTTCTGATGAATTTAAATACCTGGGAATTAACATTACCTCATCCTTTAATGGGTTACTACTTGAAAATTTTACAAAATTGATAGAACAGACCTCTGTAGATTGTGAGTGATGGTCTTATCTCCCACTTTCATTAGCAGGCCGTATTAATATAATCAAGATGACAGTACTACCAAGATTCCTCTTTTTATTCCAGTGCATTCCTTTTTATCTGAATAAGTCATTTTTTAGAAAACTTGACACAATAATTTCAGAATTTGTGTGGAATAAAAAGACTGCTAGAATTAGAAAAGCATTCCTGCAGAGACCAAAACAGTCAGGTGGAATGGGGTTGCCAAATTTTCAATTATACTATTGGGCTTGCAATCTTAAATGGATGTCATTTTGGATCCAAAAGAAGTTTCCAAGCTGGATGCAAATGGAGCAGTATTACTGTTCTCCCTCTTCACTTAGAGCATTTGTTTTTGCAGATATAGCATCAATATCTCATGGTGGTATTGATAATTTGGTAGTCTCTCATTCACTTCGAATATGGAAACAAATTTTAAGGCATTTTGGTCTTCATTCCAAACCGATGCTTGGACCCACAATTAAAAATCACCTGTTTGCACCCTCTTTTGGAAACGACACTTTTACCGAATGGTTTAGGCGTGGTTTATGTCATTTTATGGACTTTTTTATAGAGGGTTTTTTTCCTTCATTTGAAACACTTAAGGAAAAATTTGGCTTACGCAACTGTCACTTTTTTAAAGATTTGCAGGTTTGTCATTTTGTTAAACAGAACAATGCTAACTATCCTAGGGCTCCGACACCAAAACCTTTTGATACACTTTTTTTAGATAACCCTTCTTCTAAAGGAGGCATCTCTAAGCTTTATAATAAATTGTCTGAGTTTGATGGTTCTGGTACTTTGCAACACCTGAGGCAGGCCTGGGAGGAGGAACTTGGTATTGCTATCACTGAAGAGCACTGGGAACAAGCACTCGCTTGTACCCACTCAACCTCCATCTGTGCTCGTCACGGTTTAATTCAGTTTAAGATCATACACAGGATCCACTGGTCAAGACTTTGATTGAGTAAGATCTTTCCTGATGTGGACCCTGTGTGTACGCGCTGTAATCAAGCACCAGCTTCTCTGTCACACATGTTCTGGGGTTGCTCTGAGCTATACACTTTTTGGTCAAATATTTTCTCAATATTATCAAAAGCTATTCACAAAACTATTGGCATGAATCCTCTCACAGCAGTACTTGGAATTGTAGTTGGAAATTTAATTACAAGTACTGTCAGAGCGCACTGTTCTACAATTTGGGTGCTTACTTGCACGAAGACTGATTTTATTAAATTGGAAGGAGGCAGAGCCCCCCTGTCATGTGCATTGGTTAAGAGATGTAATGATGCACTTAGATCTGGAGAAGATCAGGTATTCCTTACAAGGTCATGAAGATACATTTACCAGGACATGGGCATCCTTTATTAGTCTGTTTAAAATGGGAACTTGAACTACACTTTTTTGTTTTAATTGTATGTCCACATTAATCCACTTTAATTTTCCGCATGTTTTTTTTACTATGGTCTGTGTATGTTCCTTTGTTTTTGTTTTTTCTCTGTATAACCTAACATATATACATATATATCTAACGGGATAGATACATCTAATACAGTGCTTTTAAGTGATCTGTACTTTCTGCTGGATTGCCAAACTGTATAAATTTGTGAAAACCTAATAAACAGAATGTAAAAAAAAAAAGATTTTTCATGATATGTCCCCTTTAAAATATTATTTGCTCCCCTCCCCCTCTAAAAGCCGCCTTGTATGCTTCAGAGGGGGGAGCCAGTGTGTCTGCTGTGACTAAAAATGTGTATTTTTGGTCTGTCACAGGTCTGAGTAAAGTAGTTGACTCCACACTGTGTTCTGTTGGTCGTATATGGCTCCTGGACGAGTTTGCAGCCGTTACACTGGTGTCGTGACCCTTTCGTTTCCCGATCTGCTCTACACTGATCACCGTGGTGCCCTGCTGTTGGTCCGCTCTTCACTGCACGTGGCTCTGGTTTAGGGCTGGGCGATAAATCGATTTTAATTATTAAGTCAAATTTGACGTTTAGGGGGATTTCTTTTAATGAAAATTGTTTTTTTATC